TATCCACTTTTTGATGATATCATCTAAGTAACTTTCAATTACCTTTGAAACAAAGTAGTACAGATTCAACCTCTAGTCACTCAATAATTATGGATTATAATTACAAAAGAATGATAGTAAATAATATATTACATGAAGGCCCTCCTTTCAGTATCACAGAATATTCTCATTATTACCATTTCCGTAAAGTAGTTTCTTAATAAAACAAGCCAAAAACCTGGCATCTGCCTGAGGGGAGGGCATGTCATTTATCCCCCGGAGCTCCTCAAGGAGATGGTAAAGCCTCCGTGAATGGCTGCCGCTCTTACAGGGATTCTGCCCAGAAAGCTTAGTGCTCAGGGGCTTTCATCAGAGCCACTGCTTTAAAGTTGACTTCTCCTTCTTCTCTCATTTCTATTTAATGTGACAGAAATTATATAACTCCTTACAACTCAACTCAATTAGGCAACTATTGATTTAAAACAGTTGTGTGCTGGGAGCCTTACACCCCCGTAAGTCCCTCCAGAAGCAGCTCCATCTAGTAAGAGCAGTAAGGCACGATGACAGACACTGTTGTAACCTCAGACCCAGAAATGATCAATTTGATCATATGTCCATTCAGCTACTATTTATTGAGTATACACTATATGCAAGGCATGTGCTAGGCTACCAACAGGGGCCAATCCCTGCCATAGGAGTTTATAGCCTGGGAGGCAATACAAAGAGTAGTTATAATACGGTGTGTTTAGGGGCCACAAAGTGTTTAAAGGTTCAAATAAGGGGAAAATATGATTAGTTAAGGAGAATCAAGAAAAAGCCATAAAGGATTCTTCCAAGGTGGAAATTATTTATGTAAATCCACTGTTTGGCAGACTGCACTTCCCATTTATTGTGGTCCGGGAGGAATTGAGGGCCTCTTTTGGTAGGATTTTATTTCATCAGGACACATCCAGTTGGTGACCTGATGCCTTTTTATGTTAAACTTGAATATTTTCTTCTGAGTTTCCTCGTGTCTCAGATATGAAGAAGGAAAAACCAAGCTGGTTAAAAGATTGTACTGTAGAACCAGACTGCATGGGTTTATATTCCCATGTTATAATCCATGAGATAAATTATTTAACCTCTACTGCCTCAGTTTCCAATGCAAAATGCGCTAATAATGTGTATTCCTTGTAAGTTTGTTGGTTATAAGGATTAAACAAGTAATGCAGGTACTAGTATGTGGCACACAGTGAGTACTTGAAATGTTAGGTATCATGTTAGCTATTTTCAAATCTGGTACTTTTCCTGGAATTAATTTAAGATCTCGTGTACATAAAATTTCATAAAAGCATACTTTGTAGCTTCCAGAAAGTATGATGAGATACAACTAGATAGTTGTCTGTATCCTTTAAAGTCTATCCCTTTTGCTTTCAAATGCTGTTTACTATCATCAGTAACACATCACCTTTATTTATATAAAAGTTTTCATTTATTATGGGAATTTTTCATAAATTTCCTTGATGTAGTGAATCCAGATTTTTTTTAAGCTGTCTTATAAGCTGTCTTACTAACAGTGTCTGATACATAATAATCACTCAACAAACTTTTTCTTAAAAATGAATAAATGTGTGGTTACTTATATCTGTTAGCTCCTTGAGCTCTGGTACTGAGGCAGTACCAGAAGTGAGATTTATAGATGGATACCATTGGTTCATTAGCTAAGTAACCAACACCTGAGTAGTCAACATCCCTTTATGCCAGGCATACAGGGGACACTTAATACATTTTACTTTCTGGACTGAAGTTTTACCTGAAGACCGTAGGCACAGTGTGGGTCTTTAGTGCCAGACAGACCTGGGCTGAAGTGCCTACTTTACTTTGTTCTAATTGTGATCCAATCTTGTTTCTTCCTTGGTAAAATAGGTTTATAGATCCATTCTTCATGGATAATCAAAGCACCTTTTCATGGTGCCTAACATATACTAGATCCTAAATTTTTCCTTATTCTTCATTGCTGTTTATTTAGCATATGTTTTATAGAAATTTCAGTTAATGACAAATAGTTATTATGCTGCATCATTATTTATGAATGATCATACAGTGTATATTGAGAACACAGTGTACTTAGAGAAAATGAATTTTTCAAACTCCTTGTGTATTTTATTAGCCAGTTTTATGCCACTAAAATTACCCAGTTGCTTATTCAATATTTGTTTATTCAGGGGGATTCAAATATATGAGAAATCAATGTGTTCTGGCAACATGGACTATTAACACAGAATTTCCTTCTCCTACAAATATACAGAAATGCTGGATAAAATATGATTCAGCCTAGTTTAAATACTTAGTTAAGCTAGAGAGAGAAATTGTAATAAAGAACAAAAGAAGGAAGGGAAGAAGGGAGGAAGAAGGAAGAGAAGAAACAACAAGAGAAAAGAAAAGGAAATTTTAAAAAAGAAGAGAAAATTCCTGGGTACCAAAAACAAAGGGGAAGCATAACCAGAGCTGTAAGTGGACAAGCTGACACTATAGTTGCCCAGGGGAATATTGGAACCAGATGTAGGCTCTAATGGCTAGAAGCTGGGGTTTTAATCTCACACTTGGACAGAGATGCGGCCTTGGGTCAAGAGAGGTGGAAACTAGAAAAACTGTCCACCTGGTCAGGAAGGCCACATAGAAGCTTATCATTTTTTCATAGCTATATGTGGGAAGGGGGAAAAAAAGTTTGTCATAAAATCAAAACTCTAAACCTCTACCAGGTATAGCTATAAAGTCTTAATGTACACTACCTATATGGTACAAGAATCCTAAGCCAAGAAATTAACTGAGAAAAAAAAAGGCTTCGAACCAATGGAACCCCTTAATTGCCTGGTAAAACAAATGGAAAAGTTCTCTGTAGAAATGTTTACAGCCTTAGGTCCTAGGATTCCTGTGGAGCATGATGGAGATGTCGCTCTAGCTGAAGATAAACTCACAGTTAAAACTTACAAAACACAGAGAAATGTCTACTTGAGGCGGAGAGTCAGAAGACATCACAGAGGATCCCCAAGAACATTCTGAAAGATACAACAAAACAAGTGTGTTTAAAATAGATTTTTAAAGAATAAAAATTATAATAAAAGATAAGACTATCAAAAAGAGTGGGTGAATTTGAAAAAGAACCAAATAGAATATCTAGAAATAAAAAATAATTATCAAAATCAAAGACTTTGTTTATGTCTCAGAAACTAGTTAGATACAAGTAAACAGAGAGTTAGTGAACTGAAATATAGAGCTAAGGAAATCAGCTCAGAGTATACTGCTGAGCAGTAGTGAAAAGGGAATGTATTGTGATCGTTTATAGTCCATCACACTATAAATAGAGGGACTTTATACTAATATGAAAGACCCATTAAGAAATAGAAAAATGGACTAGATTTTTCACACACTTGGTTTTGTGTAGCAGATATCATTTCATTTGGCTATGTGGACCATATAAACGTGTTTGGGTTAGTTTTCATGCAGTCCAGATGCAACCTTAGCAGGCTTAATCCTGGCATCACAGATGTATATAATAAAAGACCAGCCAACCTTATGCTTCTGTCAAGCTGACTGTACGTTTGGGCTAGAAATTGAAACAGGAAGAGGGAAAAGACATCCTTAAATCAGGCAATTAAATACAGTATCTCAGAAGACCAAGATCTAGAGAAACCATTGTAAAATGATTACCACAATCACACTAATTAATGTACTACCTCATGTAGTTACAATTTGTGTGTGTGTGTGTGTGTGTGTGTGTGTGTGTGTGTGATGAGAACACTATTTACATCAACTCTGTTAGCAAATTTCAACTATACAATACTCTATTATTAACTATAGTCACCATGCTGTACATTAAATCTCAGAACTTATCTATGTCACATAATTACTCCTTTATACCATTTGACCAACATCAAAATCATTATATTAGGTAACCAGAAAAATACTATTTGTTTCTTGATTCACACATTTTTTTAGCTAGAAAATCTCTTGAACAAAATGGCCTATTGTTAATACATTGCACATTAATAATATTCTTTAAACTAGGTAACAAAGAGGCAAACAACAAACCCAGGCTTGAGTAGAAAGATAACTAGCATTGTTAAAAATTGACTTGAGAGAGAGAGAAACTGATTTGTTGTTCCCCTTTTTGATGAATATATTGGTTGATTCTTGTATGTGCCCTGACTAGAGATTGAACCTGCAACATTGGTGTGTCTGGACGATGCCCTAACCAACTGGTCAGAGCCCCTAGCTTTCTTGATTACATCTGGCTCATCTTGGTTTACCAGTCAAATGCAAGAAGAGTTAGGTTGTTGTTTTTTAAGTCACAATTTTCCTTCATATATATACATGTAAGGTATTATAAAATGTTAGTACAGTACTTGTTTTTTTGAAGCAAAATTATATTCTATAAACCCAGATGTTAACTAATTTTTATATGGAACTATTAAAGGGTCAAATACATACATTTGGTTTCTAATATGTAATTTAGTAAAAATTACTTTTGCCTGTTTCTGGTAACTGTTCTGACTGACTTATTTGCTAGATATATTTACGTATAATAATGCCATCAAATTGCAGTTATTTGTTATTATTATTGCGGTTGTTTTCAGTGGGGAACAAAAGTGGCAGGTAATTGGAAAATCAACCAATATTGAAAGATTATATCTTATAAGGCAAGAGAATAATGTAAAATGATATTACTGAATTTCAGGAAAATCTTGCTTATTGTAAAAACGACTTAGGTGATTTTATAGTCAAATATAAGAGAGAACAACTGTAATAGTACAATATATAATAAGATGTGTTTAAAATTGGTTGATAAATTAACATCAGTCACTTTCTAATCTAGGAAACGGTTGTGGAGCTGGTGGAGTTTATTGGTTTGGTTTTTAATTAAATGGAGGAAAACCAACGCCAGGTGCCGATCTCCTCTTCAGTGATATGAGCATAGACCTTAATATGAATTCACAGGGCCTTTCTACTGTTTATTCTAAGAATAGTCTATTATTCTTCAGAGGAAGAAGCTGCTCTAGGTGGTGCTGTTGCAGAATACAGAAGAGAAAAGCAGAAGTACGAAGCTCTGAGGAAGCAGCAGGCAAAGAAGGGAAGTTCTCGGGAAGACCAGGTAATTTCACAAACTAAATGTATACATAATTCATTGCCTTTTCATTGTCTTCACGTCTTGTTAATGGAGCCTAATTTGATTATGCGTCAAGGAAGCACTATCTCTGAGCAATGAAAAACCATGTGTTTATATAGGGTGGGGTGACAATGACCTTGGCCACTCATATAAAGGTCTAAATGATAGGATTCTTTCTGGACATTATAGATGAAACACCTCAACTTTCAGGTTTTAAATGTGTGCTCCCCTGTCAAGCACAGGAGCCTTGTAAAGCCACAAATGATCAGATACTCAGGTAGAACCTTTGTCTAAGTGAATATTATGAAATAGAGAAGTGGTGACTGTCAATGATGAAGTGATCTCCTCTGGCCCAGCAGCTCACAAGCTGACTAGCCAACTCCACCTGAAATTGTGCATTGCCTGCAAATAAAGTGGTCTACTAGTTGACTTCTATTGTAAATAGTATTACAAAATTTCACTTATTGCAAGTAATTCCTATATCGTTATAGTAATATAGGAAGATTGCCAGAAGTCAAGAATGAAAAAAGACAGGGAGCTAGCTCAACAATTTGGGAGTCCACCATACACACCATACAGCTCTTGGCACTCAATACAATAAATCTCCCTCAGCAGCCCTTCATGTTGAGGAACTAAGGGGCAGACCAGATCTTTTCTTTTTTGTGCTGCAATATATATATGAGAATGTGTCATTTTTGGCATATAAATAAAATAGGCTAAATAAAAAGTAAATTAAAAGGCTCAAGACTGTTTGGATAAATTAATCAGAAACTATGCTATAAATGACATCTAATTACTGATAAGGAAGGATCACGCATCAGTGCTTAGCATGAAAATAATCATAAGTTCAAAAAGAAGTCAAATATAGGAAATTATAGTTGCAGATAACTAACTTGTACAGTTTTCAAAAGAAATGGAACATCAAATAAAATTAAGAAAAAATACATTATTAACTTGTATTCATGGAGTCACATTGTAATGAATATACTGCCAAAGATACTATGGATCCTCTTATTCATACATTCCTCTTTTTTTCCTTCCTAGTTAATAGTTATTAAGAACCTACCATGTACTAATCACTGTATTGGTGGTAAACAAGGTGGACACATCCCTGCCCTCTCTGAGCTATCAGGGCACAGCCAGTTAAACAGGTACAGTAATGCCAATAAAAGGGGGTGAGCATCATGACAGCTTAGGTACAGGAACCTATGTAAAGGTGTAATAGTAGGACCTAACATGTCCTAAGAATCTGGCAGTACCTCCCTGAGAAAACGATTTGTCAGCTGAGCTTTGAAGGTTGAATAGGAGAGTGTGGCTTGACAAAGGAACAGTATAAGAGAAGTCTTTGATCTCTTTGCAAAGAATCAAAACATGTTAAGGATGATTGGAACATAAATGAGAAAGAGAGAGGCTGGAGAGGTAAGCAGAAGCCAGCTCATGCAAGGAAGGTATTTTTGAGCCTTAATAAGGAGTTTAGATTTACCCTAAGGGCAGATGGCAGCCATCAAAGGGAGGAAGCACTATGATCTCATTTTCAATTTAGGAAGATCCCTCCAACCTGGCTGCAGGAAGGACATTAGACTGGACCCTGGGCAGGACCAGAGACACAGAGGCCAGTTGAGAGGCTTGTGTATGTAGATATGCGTGCACTAAGTCTTCCAAGGCAGAGTCCCTTCAATGCAGCTTCTCTGTGCTGGGAAGGCCTGGCTATTCTGAACAGCAATGCTGGTGGCCATTCCTCCTTCAGCAAAAGCCAGAAGACCAGTCCCCCTATAGATGCCAAATAGAAATGTCTCCATGCAGGTCTTATATTCTTCACCCTGTATTGTACCCCATTATCTTTTTGATGTTTGCTTTTCTGCCTAGTGTCTTCTCTTGCCTTTAGAATGCAGCTAGAGAAAACCCACTCGAATATAGAAGCTAAGCAAGGCCAAGAGGATTTTTTTTGTTGGTCACAGCCCCCATCTTTGAGGAAATGCCAGTAGCACATTAACTGCCTTGCCACTTTCAACTCAAGGAAAAAGGTCCAGGTCTAATGTATTTGCTAGGGACTTTTAAAATTTCAATTCACTAAGGAGTCGCCTTTGTTTTTATTTTTCTTATGCCTTCAGAAAACACATTTCCAAGAATACAAAAATCCACCATTATAGATTGATGGGGTTTACGTTTGAGTGATAGACAGGTAGATATAGAGATGTGCATATGGAGATATATGTTTATATAATGTAGATATAGGTATATAAGCACATCCACACACACAAAAACACATAAAACGCCTTGAAAGATATATACCAAAGTGTCAACAGTGGTTATTCTGAGTAGTAAGTAATATAATAGGTACTTTTGTTTTGCTTCACTTTGTTCTCTAATATTTCTACAGTAAATCTTTTTCTTATTTTAAAGCAAATACAATGAAACTTTTATAAGCAAAAATATTTATTTTAGTGAATAAGGTTTAAAAATAGGGGATGCTTTCTTTATCTGTTAACATTGTTTGAAGAGCTTAGTCCCATAATTATTACTCTAGAAATGGATAAAACATGTAAACTCCAACACACCAGACAGCCCTCAGAATGCCTATGAGGATATTCCATAGGAATTTACAGTTTTTCTCTCAAACTCATGTCATTCAGCAGCTATGGTAATGTGCATATTTTCAGCTGTTGTCCATGTGGGCATTAAATTTTGCAGAAGATATAAGGCACATTTCGCTACCATTTTTAGCAATACCACTTTTGTTTTTATTTGGGCACCACCTGTCTGTTGAGTTTAGGTTCTAGACTAACAAAACCTACTTAATTTTTTCATGAACTGTGATCTCAGTGATATTTGTTAGATAAATTCTGGAGCCTAGCAATTTATTGTGACTCCTTACTGTACCTGTTATTCACATATTGAACTATCACACAACTTTTTCCTTATGAAATGTATTTTAGTACTGAGTTCCATGTATCAATATTTTAATTAGATACTTGATATTTATATGTGACTAGTACTTTATTTCATTTCATAAGTATATACTTTTTAAAACTGTAGAATAAAAAGCTTTTTCCTACCTTCTGTTCTCTGCTCAAATTCTGGAGTAGACTGTTAAAGTACAGCCAAGAGACAAGGTAATTATCAAATTGTAAGCACTTTCTCTTCTCACCCACAATGGGTGTGGGAGTCAAACGACAATCAGAGGAATGATCCCCTTTTAAAAAAAACAACATACTCAACATGATATTTGTATCCTACTTCTTCACTTAACAATAGGATGTAATGCTTTATGGAGAAAATTTTTTTATAACAGTGTAATTGCATAGTCATAGCTTTTTACCAAACGTATCCAAATCTTTATTGATAGGCATTTAACATGGCCATTTTCCACTGGTGGCTGTTGCTGTGGTGCATGTTGTCCAGGGGCCACTTTCTATGTTTTAGATGATTTTTCTTCACATATTCCCAGTTGGAATCAGGGAGTGAGAGGTACTGGTCATCTCTGAGTTCCTAAAGACAGCTCCCCGGCGTCCCATCTCCCAGCAGTGAATGTGCTCATTTATTTTACCTTCCCCAATATTGATATTTTTACACTTTTAGAAATGTGTTCCATGAAAAACGCTATTTGTTACTATTTTGTTTTTTTATTTTACATATCTTAGTGCAGTACCTCCCTGTCTGTGGACAGACAAAAGTTAACTATTAATAGTAAGCATGCATTTTAAAATTTAAGAGTCTTCTATATAAGCAAATTTATGTTCCCCAAGTAGGAAAATAAGCGTTTATCTCTGAGGTAAAATATCAGTGCAAATACAAATAGGTTAATGTCAAGGTTTGTGACTATCAATCACTGTTGCTTTAGGAAGGCAGTTTTGTTAGTTTCCTTCAAAACTAAAAACTTATCTCAGTGTTTTACATTCTGGTAGGATGTTTTTGTTTTTTTTCCTAAAAAGTGTGTCTCTTCTAAAATTACATTCATCCTTATCAAAAAATGTATTCTTATTTCAGACCCTTGCGCTGCTGAACCAGTTTAAATCTAAACTCTCGCAAGCAATTGCTGAAACTCCTGAAGATAACATTCCTGAAATGGAAGTAGAAGATGATGAAGGATGGTAAGGGCTTGGCTGTCTCTCTGTTCACCATGCGCAAGTAGGCCCAGAGTAGAGACTCTGTTAGGGCTCGTTCTCTACATCACCCCTTTCTGTCAGACTTCACCTTCAACCCTGCTCTCACTGTTACCTCCACGCCCTCTTCTTCATTTCACTTTGACAAGCTGTATCGAGTGCCTGCCTGGTGCGGTCCCAGCTTTCTGGTAGCCAGTGCAAAATACACGAGAAACGGAGGACGCTGTTCCTGCCCTAAGTAACTTTGTAATATTGTGGTCAAGACAAGACTCACATTACACTCCTAAAAATCTACCATAAAAGATGCTAAATCGTTAATTTTTTTACACTTTTCCATGACCATTTTAGAACTCAGTAATCTATTTCATAATGCTACTAAGTTCCTCTTCCAATTTATGACCTACAGAATCCCAGCAATACATGCATAGTTAACTTATTTTTATCTTTGGATATTTTTCAGCTGTTTAAGACACTGATAAGAAATAGAGAAATTAATGACTTGTACGTGCCCTGTGCTTAGCACTTTATCCTATACCGGCAAAAAGAGAAAAGAAAAAAAAAAGAATAAGAATTGTGCTTTCCCTTATCACACTCCTCTGCCCCTCAGCTGACTTCACATGTAGTATATTAGGCCTCCCCACACCTACTGCCTCCGGCTCCCACTGCACCCTGGCTCAGGCGCACGGCTGCACACCAGCCAGTGGGTCACCCCCACACATGACTCATCGCTGGAGCCTCCGAACTGTCACAAGTGCCATTACCCCAACCCAGAATCATAGCCTCACTCCTGTCTGCCAGACAGCGTCGCTCCCCTATTTCAAAACTCTGCTCAACACTCTCAGCCTCCAGGAAACCAGTCAGCAAGATTTGTTGAGCACTCACAAATCTAGAGGGTGGAAGAGAGAGGGCTGGGACACACATTAAAAAAAGACATAAAAACACTCATTAAGAAAACATTTAAGCAAGTAAGACTGGGCAACTATATATAACTTTAATCAAAAGGGCTGAGGGGGATGATTTGAATGGAATGAATCCTAGCTACCCCGGGACCCTGAAACTACTTGTGTATTTCTCTATCTAGTTGCTGTATGATCTGGGTTATGATGCCAAATTTTTTGTAAAACCTCGAGTCTTTTTTAATAGGTTCATATTACTTACATGTTTGTTTATACTTAAATTCTAAGTTGCTTAAAGACAGAAGCTGGCTCCTCCCATAGTTCTGTGCCAAAGGTGAAAGTTCAGTGAGTGTTGAGTGACCCATAGAGATAAATGCACATCGCAGAGCATAGAACTTTCTGTTCTTTATATGACTGGACAGGTTTAGTTCTATTTTGGATTCCATGAATGTCTCAAAATATCTTTCAAATGTTTTGGGTTCAGTCACCACACACACACAAATGTTTTGCCAAGTCCTCTTCCCCTTATTTTTGAGTCCATATGCATTTTTTAAGGAAATATGATCCATGTGTTTCTGATTCATTTACACTTAACTCATCAAGAGGGTGTTTTGTAAGAGCAGTTTGATGCCCAATAAGTTTTTTTAACCTTTTTATAAGCCATTTAAGTCCTTTTTTATTGAACAGGAAAGTCACCAACAAATTTAAACCCAGAAGTTCCATTTGAAACTCATAACCCACAGGATTCAACTTTACTTTCAACTTGGCAAGACCGTTTAACTTCCCAAGGTTCTTCCTAGCCCCTTTGGATCAGTCTCTTCTCATTTTGCATTCCTCATTAGCTTCAGATATCAGTTCGTGTTTTTAAGTGTCATCCTTGTTTTTGGTGTGATTTCACAATACAATCACTGTTCTAACATGCTCGTTATAAAATTAAACAAATGGGAAAACTTCACCAGATGGGGGGAAATCACTGGTCAGTGATGTTGCTCAGTTCTCAGAGAACAAAAATAAGTGGTAAAGGAAAGGGAAATATGTTAAAGGAACCATCACCAAGTCTTCAGAAAGTTTGTTTCTGCTTTTAATTGCAGTCTCCTAAACAGAAAATCAGAACCGTACACTGTGTACCTATACATTTCTTTGGTATTTGTTTTTTCTGACATTTAACAAAATACCTTTAGTATTCAAGGTACTATGCAGAATCATATATATAATACCTAGGGCCCTTATATAATGCCCTCTTGTTGCAATATAGACTATTGAAATTGTGTAACTTGATAAACAAGAACATCATTTCTGTTCATAAATAAACCAGTTCAACTTTATCAAGTCTCTGGTGATTTAGGTCATCTCTCATAAAATATATTCCACTCAGAAAAGAAGTCTTGTATTCAAAATGATTTATAGCAAATATTATGAGTGTATGGCATGTGCATGTGTGTTATGCATAAATTACATGGCTCCCAGAGTATTTTGTAGGTCACGGTTGCCGCTTTTCTCAGAAGCGAAAGTCAGTGCTGCACTACACTGTCAGGGTCTGTTATCTGAGGTAAAATGATTGCTTATAAGACATTTTTATGTGTCCGCATGAGTGACCACACATTGAGGGATCATTTTCATTTTCTGTCAAGATAGAAACCATTACCAATTTGTTATGTTTTCTTTTACTTGGCACACTGTTCTATTTGCATTTTTGGCTGGGCTGCTGTATTGGCATGGTATACAACAGACATTTGGGTACCATTCAGCAGCATTCTATTTTTTAAGCAAAAAAATAAAAAAGTAGGAGGGGGAGAGAAAGAAAAGAAATATGATTCTATTGTAAACACTATATATGGTGTTTGATAATTATTCCCAGATTTCACTGTCTAACAAGGCATTTGAAGAACTGTTATTAAGATCTCAGCTGAAATGCATGATAGAAATTTTTCACTCAAAATTATTAGGGTTCTTCCCTTTGTTGGGATGTATCCTGCCAGTACGTGGTGGCAGTGGTGGGCACCAGATTCCGGTGTGGCAGCGGGGTCTGTGTGCCACTGCATCCCTCCTCCCCGCCACACTGTGCTCACAGAGCCTTCTTCAGGCATGAATTTTATAAGACCGATTAGATACATGGCTGGAGTCATCAGCCAAAGGATTCATATGACCATGTGGATGAAGTCCATATGTCATTTTGGGTTTGTTTAGATAAAGCTTGGTGAGCTCCCAAAAAAGTTTTGAGAGAGCTGTGTCTGACAAGGCAGTCGAGAGACATAAAAAAAGAAAGCCACCTGCTCCTTACGCAACAGAATCAGCATTCCAAGAAGAGGAGAAAAATTAAATCTAGGAGAGTATATGCAATCCTGTGAACCTTAACTATTCACTACTATGTGCCATTAAAAATTCTTTCCAGATAGTTAAATCTAAGATCAGATTGAAGCTTTACAACAAATGGACATGAAAAATAATGCACAGGGAGGTCTGCCTGCCCCCCCCTTTCCCGGTGTACCTATAGTGCTGTGTATTATAAGAGTTAGGAAAATACTGACAATTGCAGGGTTGCCTCAAGTAAACATTTCAATATTTTTATTATGTAAGGAAAATATGTTTATTGTAGAAAAATCAAAATACAGGCTCCTCAAAAAAAAAAGTAAATGACAATCACATGTGATCCAAAACTTAGTAACAAATACCATTAATTTATACATGTATATACCCTTCCCGATATTTTTATGCATAGATATATTTTAGGCAGAAATGAGATCATATAATACTACAGTTTTATAACTTGCTTTTCCCCTCAGCAATGTATAGTGGATACTTTTCCTTGCCATATGTAATTTTACAATATAATTTTAATATTTTGTTTTATGGTCATGTACTATTCCAAAATATGATGAACCACAGTTTACTTGATCAACTTCATGTTGTTGGATAGTTAGGCTCTTTCCAGTGTTTTCTTTTTTTAAAAAACATTGTAATGAACATCCTTGCGTCTTTGTTGTTGCCAGTTTTTTCAGGGTACATTTCTAGAACTGGAATTCTTAGTCAGTGGGTATGCGTGTTAGGCTTCTGCAAAATATTTTCAAATGGCCCTCCCTAAATGTCATTCCAGTTTATACGCCCAAGTAAATATCATTCTTAGAACTTGCTTTTAGGGCTGTCAGTATCTCAAGACTTAATTAAGGCACTTTGCAGTGCTTAGTGAAAGAGTAACATTTGAGCAGAAATGCTTTGCCTTTGTAAACTTTTAAAAAACACAAACAGTCTGATTTCCTTCTGTTTTTAATAAAACTGGTACAAATTTCAGTATAACTCCTCAAGATCCTCAGTTCTGAATAATCTTTTCTTGGTTCTGAAAAACTCTCCTTCTAAGATAATCCTACAAGTTTTTTTGTAGATGCCTTTTATTATATTGAGGAAGTTCTCTTCAACTTCTAGTATGTTGAGAGTTTTAAACATGAATGATGTTGACTTTTGTCAAATACTTTTGTGTATTAATTGATATGATCATGTGATTTTTCTTGTTTGACTATTAATAGGGTAAGTTACAGTCATTAGTTTTAAATCTTGAATGGTCTTGAACTCATGTAATAAACCGCACTTGGTCATGGTGTATTTCCCTTTTTATTTTTGCTGAATTAAAATTGCTAATATTTTGTTGATATCTGCATCTATGTTCATGAGGGAAACTGCTCTATAGTTTCTCATCTGTTGTTCTTGTCTGGTAGGGCATCAAGGCAATACTGGCCTCATAAAATGAGGAAAATGTTTCCTCCTCTTCCATTTTTTTAAAAAAGATTGTATAAAATTGGTGTTATTTCTTTAAATATTTGGTAGAATTTACCATTGAAACCAGATGAACCTGGAGATTCCTTTTTCCGAAAAATGTTTAATAGACTTCATTTTTTTAGTGCAGTTTTAGGTTCACAGCAAAATTGAAAGTACAGAGTTTCCATATTCTTTCTGCCTACCCTGCCCCCCCCCCCCCACACACACACACACACACAGCCATCCCAGCTATCAACATCCCATACCAGAGTGGTACATTTGATAAACCAGTTTTCTCCAATTGATGAACCTACATTTACACATCATTACTCAAAGGTCATA